GTATCGATTTTCAAGGCTTGGTTTAGAAATCTCCTACCTGGCTTTAGATTGCACATTTTAGCGTAATTTTCCGGAGTAATAAAAAGACGATACGTTAAGTTAAGCTTTGAAGCCTTTATAGACAAAATCTACATTGTCATATTTCATGCCACCTTTTTCCTGTTTTCGGCTCGTCAATGATTATATTCCTCTTTTTGCATTTAATAAGCTTGCTATTTTTTATTATTTTTATCAAAATTAACGTACCGAACTTCTATATTTTTGGCGGGAACTCTCATTTTAGCGTATTTATCGTTACCGTTTTCGTTACCCTTGTTTTTTAACGTTTGAACAGTTAAGGATTCTTTTAATGATGCAATAATTCAAATTAAAAGTTAAGTCTCGTAATGACCGACTAAACCCCGAGACTAAGCCAAAAGTGTGGCAAAAACGGAACCCAGAAACCGAGAGAATCACGAAAAACTAAAAATACCCCCCTACTATGCTCTAGGGCCCCTAATAAGTATGGATTCTTCAGTAAAACTACCAGCCAAACATCAGGTATCTTAAAAACGCGATTCTACCCTTCCTCAATTACCCCCTGCCCGCTAGATTGCAGTTTTTACCCCCTTCCGACGCACAATATCGATGCATCTCGGGGGCAAAGAAACCTGACCGGATTAGCCGGATAAGCATCGCTACGTCTCAAAAGATGTTCCCGGCCGAAACTCTCTTTGCCGTTTTCCCAGAATCCCTGATGACTAACGGATTAGGAAAGCGACAAAATTTTGATTTTAATTCATCAAAATCGCTCACCCGGGCCCAGACGCTATAACACGGAATTTACATAGGAGTTTTCGGATTACTTTTTTAATGGGTTTTTTAATGCGAGACGGTGATATTATGTAAGTACAAATCCGCCCCCAGTCATCTATGGTTTCCGGTTCGATGGATCTGGGAGGACGGAAACGCAAAATGAACATCCGAGCGGGGACCGATCAATTTTTGCAAATTTTGTGGCGTAGATCGTCGAAGCCCAAGCTCGACAAAAGCTAAGCCTAAGCCCAAGCCAAGCCAATCCCAGCCTAAGCCTAAGCGTAAGCCTAAACCAAGTCCGAGCCAGGCCTAAGCCAAGCATATGCCAAACCTATGCCAAGCCTCTACCATGCCTAAGCCAGCCAAGACCAAGCGAACCTTAAGTCGATCCTAAGCCAAGCCTAAACCAGGCCCGATGTAAGCCAGCCAAGCCTACGTTAAGCCTAAACCATACCTAAGCCAAGCTGAGCTTAAGCCAACCTAAGCCATAGTTAAGCCCAAGCCATTTTTTTATTTTTCACGATTTCGTTCCGTTTGGCTTAGGCTTTGGCGTAAGGTTCGAATTTTTCTTAAATTACATGAAGCTTCTACCAGGATATTCGCAACGTAATTTCCTTCAAAACAGCATATGGCTTTGGCATTCGTGCGTAATACACCTCTAGACGTCGCCGACTCTTTTCATACCCTCCGGCCCGCCCGCCGCCTTCTCCCATTTTCATCCGTTTTTTAGCGTTCCGGCGTCATTATGAGAAGCGGGCCGGGAGCTAGTAGCTGTCTGGACGGTTCTTATGTTCAAGGTCTTGGCTTTGGGTTTTGAAGTAGTTTATTTTCAGCAATTTAATAACTAAAAACTGCCCGTTTGGAATCAGATTCCGCACCGTCCTTTGTTTCAGTTTTGGGCTGAAAAACACGCAGTTTCGCTTCGATTTTCGATTCCGGTTCATCGGATTGGGGCACTCGCAATCGGGTTTCATAACTTCTGAGGGGTTTTCTTCAGGGTTTTGGAGTTGTTTTAGAGAGTCTGGCAAGACCAAATCTGTTCATCAATTAGCTACAATTGATGTTAAGCGGAAGAAAGAGAAAAATTTCTCAAGCGTTCCTGCTAGCCTGCCTAGCAGCGTCCCCCAGGATCTCTGCTAGGTTGCTAGGATGCCTTCCTCAAGCTTGCGGGCTAGCATCCCTAGCTGATTCCTTTAGAATCAATGCTCGTTGTTCAACATAATTCCTCAATGATCTTTGCTAGCTTGCTCTTGCCTATTAGTCATGGATCTCTGCTAGCCTGCCCAAAATTATAAGTTTTCTGATTTTGTAACCAAACTATTTCTTTTTTGTCTCAGATCATCCTTTAAATTAAAATTTCCTAAAGAATCCCTGCTAGCCTGCCTATGCTACTCGTTTTTGGTTCCACAGTAACCCCAATTCTGCCTTCCCAGCTCCTTTAAACCCCTCCCGCTGTTTCAATTCCTCTCCCCCACTCCATTCCACACCTGTTTACGCCTCTCAAAATTCGCATGGAAACCTGCGTCTCCCCATTCTCACACCTTTTTGCAGGTAGGGCCCACGCGGGCCCCAGGGGCGTCCGGTTTTTCGGTCGGAAATTCGGGGGGCCACTACAAAATTTGGGGAACCAGTATATAAATGCTCTGGGGGCGCACAAACACAGACCCCTGGAAATTGCGAATGTGACCTCGGGTTCAGAATACAGCCCTTGTCGCTCTCTCTCTCGGTCGCTCTCTCTCTCTCTCTCTCTCTCTCTCTCTCTCTCTCTTTGCCACAATTTCCGCCGTGGTACTGTAGACGAATTAGCCCTGAGGGGCGGAATATAATTCTCCCCTGGTGGGCCCTGATACAGATTCTCGCGGGAAATTAGCCGACTCATCGGCGAGACGTAGGAAAAAGTTGGGAGGCTCCCGTCACCGTATACCCTTTAGCGGCCGGGTAGGTGGAGATGTACAATTTTGGGTTTTGATGCGGTGGTTTTTTGCGGATAATCGGATTTTGGGGTCTAGGAGAGCGGATTGAGCTTTCATTTTGAGATCGAAATCCGGTGGTACTGTATGAAAAGACTTAGAAATCGTTCAAGGTCCGAATTTTCTCTCGCTAGCTTTCTCTATCTCTCTCTATCTCTCTTTCTCTCTCTCTCTCTCTCTCTCTCTCTCTCTTTCTCTCTCGTTGGACTTCTCGCCATATCGAGCCGGGAGCAGGGAGCTTGGAGCTAAGAGCTGGGAGCTGTGCCCTTTCCGAGTTCTTTGTATCTCTCCCTCCCTCTCGCTCTCTCTTTCTCTCTCGCTACCTACCAGTGGCTTCATCCCAAATCTCCAAATCCACCCCGGAAATTCGCCCACCCATTTTTTTCGGTTGCCACCGCCTATAAGGTCTCATTTCCGCTCTTCTCGCAAATTTTCCTAACTACTCTATCTCTACCGTACCCAAAGTTTTCGAATTTCTGCAAAACTCCTCGTCGCCATCAGAATACATGTTTTGTCCATCCCTCTGCCCCTTCCCCCTCCCAATGGCCAGCTGGGCGGGGGCGCTGATTCATTTTGTTATTTTTATTTTGTTTCGGGTGCGAAGAGCATCGCGCCTGGAATTTGCTTTTTTTGCGGGGCTGAATTCGCTGGACAACATTTTGAAACTCACTCTTCTTGGAGAGTCGCTGGAAATTGAGATATTGATCTGGGTGATCGATCACATGGCCGCTCTGCAATTGAGGGCTTGAAAAACTGGATTTTGCACCAAAAATGGAACATTGTCGAGTGCGACTCCATAATTTACCAGGTTTCGGGCCAAAAATTTATGATGGATTGGGCGTTCGTCCTGAAATCTGGCTCTCTCACTCGTTCTCGCGCTCGCACTCACTCTCACTCGCTCTCTTGCTGCCTCTCTCACTTACTCTTGCTTTCCATTACTCTCTCTCTCTATCTCTCTCGCTCTCTCGAGTCATGCCTAGGTCTTATGCAGTCCTATCTGTTTTCCTTTTGTTTTCTTTTGTTTTTTTTCGCTTTTGATTTCTCGTACTCTCTCTCTTTCTCTCTCTCTCTCTCTCTCTCTCTCTCTCTCTCGCTTCAGATGTTTATCTATCAATCCTCACTTCATTATTGCATTTCCAAACACCTGTTTTCCATCATATTCCGCTTTTCCATTCCTCTACAAGCATCCCAATTACACGCTTTTTTCGCAACCTCAGTATTTCGAAATTGCCATAATTTGGCCTGGGCAGCTGCTTCTCCTGATCCCTGCCCACCTCCCTTCTCGGCCCTCTATAATTTGGGTGAATAGAATCCCACATACACTCCTGGGAATTTGCTACCCGCCGGGGCTCCAAAACACCTCTTCGGCGTTTCACAATTCGTACGCAAAACTGTTGATCGGGTCGTGAGATCGTAATTTGGCGGCGTACTGGGACTGCCGCCAAGCTAGCAGGGATTCTTTGAGTTGGTAAATTTTTGAGAATTTATTTTATTTTGTTTATTTTATTATATTTATTTTATTATATTAGCTTGCCATGGGATGATTTTTCTGGTGCTATACTCTTAGCGGGGTGGGATAATTTTTCGCAGTGATCAGGTACCAAATATAAATTAGCTTCCACCCCCGCTAACAACCCAGTGCCAAGTTTTCTGTTTCTTGTCTAAAAAAATCCCAATGAAGCCTGCTAGCCTGCCATCGGCAGCATTTTCCTGATTTTTATTTAGCTTTTTGATCTGCCAATTTGCTCCCAAAGATCCGGAGCGCTCCGTACTTTTTATGTTCTCCTTTCATTCCTCTTCAACTTCTTCGATTTCTGACTTTTCAATTCCCGGTGTGCTTTTTTTGCAGCCTGTTTCCGGGCCAAATTCCCACCCGACACTACAACCCATTCCTCTTTGCAGGTGCCGCACGCGTGCGTTCGGAGGCGCCTCGCGGAATTTTGGTAGACCGATAAAAGCCGCGGAATTTTTTGGAGAGCATTTGAAGAGGCTCTAAAAGAACTGAAAACCGGAAGACGTCAAAATTGAGCTTCAGAACGTCTTCAACACGTCAGAAATTATTCTGAAATCAACGACGCTAAATTGAAGCTCGAAAAAAGGGAATCCAGACGTGGAGCGCAAGCTTGTGACGTCAAAACCCCCAACTGACCGTCCGCCAGGAGTCCACCCCTAAAATAGGCATCGAAAATTGCGCCCGCCCTGCACGGCTCCCTCGACTACGGTAGCACGACGAGGATGAAGAAGATGAAAGAGGAATATATCGGCGTCGCCTGCACGGTGTGTGGGGCTGGCGCCGATGGGCTGCATTATGGCGCGGTGTCGTGCCGATCGTGCAATGCCTTCTTCCGGAGGGCTGTTAGTTACAAGCAGGTGAGAAACTTAAAAAAGCTTTTTGGGGAGTGAGCAAATTCTGAAGCAAAAGAGAAATACGATGGCATTCTCGTTTTTATGAATTCAGGCTTGTTTTATGAAATTTGAGCTCAATCCCCAGAATTTTATTTCTGCATGTTTCATAGTATGCAAATTGAAAGCTTTTAGCTAAGATTAGCTGAATTCAAAGAAAAATTATGGCTTTCGGTCGTTTCCGATTGTTGGAGCTTTATTTCGATTTTTCTGTTAGGTCCCGGTTGCTAATTGTCACCCAGTTAATGACCAGACTCAGCGGCTGCCAAGACTTACCATTAGCCCATTTTTATCCCCCTGCAAATCTGCAGCGATCTCGTAAAAGCATCACTTTTTTGTCGCACCGAAATCAAAACCCAAAGGTCCAGAATCCAGACACTGACGCATTCCTTGAACCCGGTATTACGTATTTTGTAGTTTATAGTCAGTCGAAGGAGTCGAGGGGCTACAAATTGAGCACAACCCGACCTTTCTATGGTTTTTTGGCTAAAAGAAATGGTTGTATAGCGTCAAGCTATTCTTTCGGTCATGTTTTGGGCTTTAAATCCGGGGGTATAGCTATAGGCCACAGACTAGAAACTACACTAATTTTGATTGGAATTTTGAAGTTATTAACTCCGAAATGAAAACTAACTTTTCCATTCGTTAAAACCCATGAAAATAAGCCGTAGCTTGTACCCGTAATAATACTCGAGAGAGTTTGTAGTTTGCAGTCTCCGATATTGCGCTCCATACGGGTTGTCTCTCTCCTTTAGTCCAGCTCGAGGAGCAAGTTCAGGTCATGAAATCACTTTTTCAAAAATTTTAGGGCAGAGAATTCGTAGTTTCTAGCCAAACGGTTGATCCTATACTCTTCTCAGGCGATCTTTGCCATATACCATATCAGAAATCAGCGCTATATCTCATTTAACCTAGCCAGCACGTGTCCTTTGAAAATTCCACCCCGCCTCCGGTCAGCCGTAATTTTTTTGTTTATTTTTTGCGACCCTAAACCCGGCCTGGCTCGATGGAAGCGCACCAATAAATTTGACCGGGGGTATTCGGCCATTTCCGAGGGTGGTTAGCTTTTCAGGGGGATCGCCGAAAGCCACCCGGAATTTATTGGGCTGATGTCGCCCATTATTCTTCGTGCCATTTGGAGCCCCGCGTAGTCGAACGGCAAGGGGGGCATTGTGGCTTTTTGGGGTGGAATTCGACCAGTATTGTGTAGTATTATTTTCCGGGGGGTTAGTCAGCCGGTGGCGGCGGTTCAAAATAAGGTATATTTGGGAGAGGCACGGTTTGGGAATGATGTGATAGCTGAAAAAACTTTGAAACGCCCGGAAAATACGGAAACCATGGAAAAATAATGAAAAATTCACACCTCTGATTTTGTAGAAGGTCGCTTACTTTTAACTGCAGAAGAACTTTCTGCACCAGAAATAAGACCCGAAAATTCGTTAAAATCGTATTTTCGAGGCTTCACAGGCGCCTATTTTTGTAGCTGTTATTTTAGTCATGATAGACTACACTTTTTTATAGTCTGCAGTTTTCAAGCAATGTCCCAAAAGCACGATGCCAAGCTGAAAATCGAAATTTTTTTACGGTTCATTTCTTGCCAGCTTTCCCCAGACGTTGTCGTTTTTGTCTGTAGCCTACTGTAGTCTAGTACCCAATTTTCACGCTGTAGCGACTACTTTTCTGCGCTAAAAAAATCCAAAATGGACTATAATACGACAACCTCCAGATTTAATTTTAATCCCAGCCTGATCCGCTGTGATCCCTCTGACATTCGGATCCAACTAGCAAAAAATGGTCACTTGTTGAAGGGCAATATGGCCGGGGGCTACAAAAAACTCGGATCCACAGACAGAGAGAGAAAGAGAGAGAGAGAGAGAGAGAGAGAGAGAGCGAGAGAGTCGAATTAATCAAATTCTTTTCAGTACAACACCTACGAGTGCCGCTACATTGGGAAATGCGACGTGACGGTAGAGGGCAGGTGTTCCTGCCGGGCCTGTCGATTTCAGAAGTGTATCGAGGCAGGCATGAGGATTGAATGTGGGTCGATCTTAGACTCGAGACTCGCTTGAATGAATGATCTCGCTCTCTCTCTCTCGCGCCCCCCCCCCTCTCTCTCTATCTCTCTCGCTCTCTCTAGCTTAAATATAAATATGTCTCATAACTCAATTACGCCGCTTCGCAAAGGCGCTTCGCAAAATTATACGCAACGCGACCTCAGCGCGTTTGAACTTTTGATCTCAATTTTCTCGGTGTTTTTGGATGGAACTGCACCTTCCGTCCAATGCCTCTGAACGCCCAAATCCCATTGCTGACCCCAAGCAATCCATTTTCAGCGTCAATGAAAAAATTCGATTTCCGCCCCCAAACCCTGCCAATTTCTCCGTTCGTTTTTTGCCGGATTGTGTGATGAAAGGGCGGAAAGAGGGGACCGCAAACACAATCCCCCAATTTTTTTCCCGGCTTTTCCGGCGAGGGAAAATTCCTTGGTGTTGCTGTTATTGAATTTTGGAATGAGGGGGAGCGGCGGGAAATAATTGGGGGGCGTCGAAGCAGCCGACGAAGGGGTCAATAATTAGATTTTTAGGGCGGGATCGGGAATAATTAGGTTATGGAAATGGGGAGTTAATCAATTTGCTGATCTGCTTGCGTTTCTCTCGCTATCTCTCTCTCTGTATTTTCTCTCTCTCTCTCTCTCGCTCTCCCTCTCTCACTCTCTCTCTCTCCTTCATTTCATCAAATCAAAAATTAAAAAGCTATATTTCTAAATTCCGTTTTTTAGCCGTCCAGCCCCGCCGCGATCCAACTGGCTCCCAAAAAGATCGAAAACGCAGAATGGGATCCGAGGAAGAGGACTCCTCCCCCGAAATGGTATGCAAATTGAAATCCGATCTTATATACCTGCTCTTACATCTTATATATCTTGTTAGAGTTATAAACAACAACCAGCTACTAGCAAAAGCTATTTTTTCTGATTATCCTGTCCTCAAAAATTTTTTTTTGTAAATTATTGCCCCATGGGAATTCACTAGCACAAAAACGACAAATGATTAAAATTTGCTTCGACCAAAACACACCGTAACCCCATGGAAATCCCCCCGGGGGCCTGATGATCCGGCGGCAGTTGCGAAATTCAGCAAAAAGCCGGGGGCTTTCCGGGCGAAACGTACCGTGCACAAAAACTAGGGTCAGAACGGGAGAGAGGGATTAGGCGAAATAAAGCGTGGGCCGCCCAGTGGAGCGACAATTTGTAATAAATTTAGAAAAATTTGAAAATTAGTGTTCTAACTAGCTGAAAACAGGTCATTTTCACGATTTCCAGAATCTCGTTTCTTTAGAATTTCGATTCAGTATCACCTACTTTTGCAAATATTAGCATTCATGGTAAAATTTGAGATAAAGCAGGTTTTAACTTCACTTTGATTTTTAATTTTATTTATGTTAAAATTAGTGTAGTCTGAAAATACTGTATAAATCTTTTCAGCAATTCAAAATCGAGCCCGCCGACAGCCCGACCGACCAAAAGTACGAGCCGTACGTCATGTCTCCGCCGCCCCCAATCAATAATGCGTCGAATGGGATTGTCAAGTGCGTCGAAAAACCTATTTGTAATTTAAATGGGCTGTGCAGGGCAAAAATCCACAGGCTGAAAGGTCCAATAAATCCTTGGCACGACGCCAAATCACGCAAATTTTTCGAAAGTAATTTTTCTAAAGATGTCAAGCTACGGTGTAACCTGATTTTCAACGTTTTTGGCAAATCAATTTTGATTCGTGCCTTTTCGACGCCTTTAAAGGTTCTTGAAATACAAATTTTTGGTTTGCGCGGCGAGCAGCGATACGCAACGCGCGCGCATTTTCCCGCGCAATCGGTTACGTCGTGTTTCCCAGGCTCAGGCGCCGCACGTTGCGTATCGCGAAAAAGCCTTAAAGTAGGCACACCCAAGAAATTCCAGAACTATACCTTGCCTGTTACTTTAAGACGCTAAAAAATGCTAATTCATACAAAAAATTGAATTTCCAGATTCGCCAACGACGGCCCGATGGATCTCCTCCAGGGCAAGCCGTTTTTCGAGCGATTTAACGAGAATCGCTACAAAAACGCCGGCTCGATTCGAGAGGTGCTCGACCTGCATCACGAGGATTACAAAAGAGCTGGTACATCCCAAAAAAAATTAATTCTAGACCCCTTTTTGCCATTTAGGAATCCGAGCCACCAACGGCCTGGCCCCGCTCGATATTAGCTGCATCGAGAATGCAGCATTCTCGCGGCCACCGGTTGGTTTTTTGGATTATTTTTTACGTTTTCGACTCTTTTAAAGTCACCTTTTCAAATACTGTAATTCCCACCATTGTTAACGTTTTATGTTCCATAAAAACTCTGAAGACACAAAATGCAAAAAAAAAAATTTTGGGCAAGTTAGGTTTTCAGTCTCGGAATTATTATTGTTTCGTCAAAAAATATACGTTTTTAGTTCGGTAGTGCCTCTTGAAAATTTCCCCATTTTTCTAGCAGATTTGGAACGCTGAAATTTCATTTTATACATTAAAAACATGCACTTTTCAATGTTATTAATTTTTAAATCCTTCAAAATCCTTCTATTTTTGTGCGTTTTTACCTGACTCATTTTCATCGAATCCCTCTCCCAACAATAAGCTTTTTCTATACTTTTTAACCCCTCCACTTCGATCCCTCTGACCTCTCCGAGCACTTTCGCCCGATTACTTCCCCCCATCTTGTTGCCAATCCTCTCCAAGAACTGCATTTAGAGGCGTTATTTTTCTCGTTTCGGAGATCCGCCCTCAATCTTGATGTCTGCTCCTCCAGGAGAAGCTCATTTCTGTCAATTCCGGCCGCAGAAATGGCCCAAAAACATGGGCGGAATGGGTCCTTTAATCCGGCTAATAGATGGGCGGCTACTGGCTACGAAATGAAACGGGTAGACAGGAGAGGAAAGGAGTGGGAGACTGGTTTTTCTGATGGCTGAGATGGTCTTGCTCGGCTTATGGAAATGGGATGGTAGAGGGAATGAAAGAGGCATAACGGGGGTTTGGGATGGAAATTAGGGCATCGGAATCGGGTAAAATTAATGAAAAACGGGACCCGTAGAATTTTTGAAGTGAAAATTGCATCAACAAGTTTAAACCTGAGGGGGCGTTTTTTAGCTATTAAAGGTTTGTAGTTGTAAAAGTTAATTAAAACTTAGTGGACTGAGATAGTTTAGCGCATGGGAAATACTTTGAGATGTCATAAGAGCTCTATTCTTGGTGGCACGATCCTGTAAAGGAGCTGTGAAACACCAGAATCGACCTATTCCCGAGCCTGGGCCTCGACAGCTACGCAAAATACAAAAATACGGGTGCAACTTGTCAGAACATGTGTTTTTGCTATAACGGTCTTTCTTTATGGTTTTTAGCAGGCCATTGAACGTACTGAGGTGCAGCACGTAGTTGCCGACACTTAGTCCCCCGACGGGTCGATTTTGGTCCTTTTTAGCCCCCTTAAACTTCCTGCTACTCGGGTAATGGCTAAATGGCCTCTACTTTTTTCGGAAAACTGCGAATGAAATTCCGCAAAAAAAACTGCAGGGCTAACAAGGCGGGTCATAAATTCAGGGGGAGTACGTGCTATACGAGCCAAAACTCCAGTCAAACTAACTGGTCCAACTTTTGGAATTGATTTTACCTACTTATTATTATTTGTAAAGCATTATTTTTGCACTTTAAAAATTTTAACACTACCTTGTTGTTAAAATTTTTTGCTTGTTGTTTTGTTTTTTAATTAATGTGGGTGCAAAGATATAGTAGGTACTGTAGCGATTTTTTAAATTTTTAATTTTTTTCGAAAATTTTTGTGGATTACGGTAGTTCCAACGCTCGGCTCAAACCCCATGCACCACTTTTTGTAGCTCTGTCTTACCCGAGTTGCCCTCTGAATTGTAGCTCCCCAAACGGCAACCCGGCTACCGTATCCTGCCCCGTTTTCTTTGGGTTTTGCACGTTCAAACTGTCACCCCGTGTTTTACTCACACCACGAGTTACGCTGGTACCGTTCCATTTTGCTGCTAAAAACGCCCAGCGACCCCCGCGAACCTGTTGCCATCTCGGCGATAAGCGTATCGACGAGGTGAACGCCGGAAAATAAATGTCTAGCTGACGAGCGAGAGAGAGGGAGAGAGAGAGTGGGAGAGAGTGCGAGAAAGATAGACAGAGAGATATGGTTTTTCTTGAGATGTACCACCGGGCAAAAAGTTGGCTGGGAATTTGGCCGAGATGAGGGAGGAGGAGGCGAGAAAAGTATGGCGGGAAACCTTGAGGGAGTCACGCAAAATTGAAAATTTTGCAAAATGTCGGCAGCACCACGTTTTTTTAAAATTTAACATAAATTAAATTAAACCTTGATAATTTTTTGTTATATTTTTAATTTAACGTGTTGCTTCATTTAGTCGGATTCCTGTTTAGGTTTTTGCAAGGGAGACCACAATTCAAATTGGTTTTTCTGATTCCGTTTTTGTCTTAATTGCAATTTTTTATAGCCGAATTATGCTCAACTTTTTTGGAAGTTCCAAATTTTTTATGAGAAAATCTACAAAAGAAAAGCACCTGGAAACTCTAAGAATTTGCGCCAAATTGCCTAAATCCGACTGGTTATACAGTCTTTTCTGATTTCCTCCCCTAAATAGATGTTTTAGATCTTTTGCTTCTCTAAATTCTCGCTTGACTACACCTTTAAAAAGCCAAATTACAAATGAAAGAGGATCAATAAAATTCTCCGTATTTTCAGCAACTCACCGAGGACGACCTGTTCGACGAGGCCCAGATGGACCCATCTGAAGTGTTCGAGCGGTGAGTAACTTCGATTAGTTGGGTTTTTGGGTACGGTAGGTCCAAAATTTTTGAGAAAAACTTATTCTTGTCCCTGCTTTTTTCTGAATTTTTCCGCGTCGTATTTTTCTTTCAAGAACTTTGACTACCGTAATCTCTTCCACTGAGTAGTTAGGGGTTGAAAATTGCTTTTTATTCTTACGGAAATAGGCTAGCTGTTGCCATAATCCATATCCCCATGATCATTGTCTTTTTGTGAAGCTACTGGAATCCAAGATAGCTTCCCTTAGCGTAATTAGCTGCTCCTTAAAATACGCCCAAACTACCGTAATCTCGCCTCTACCGATTCGGCAACAAATTACAACGGTTTTATTTTTTGCAATTTCTGAATTCCGTGTAGCTCCTGAAAACGCTCGTATCGCCTATGGCTGCTTTTTCTTTGTTTTGACCACCAATATTGCCGAAGGGAGCAATAATTGGACTCTGAGGTCACTTATCTGTATCTGTCACTTTTCTTCGGCATCGCTCTCGCTTTCTCTCTCTCTCTCGCTCTCTCATCTACCTTTTTCGGCAGACCGCTTCACATGTGATTTTCGTGCCCCACGGCGCCGCAAAGAGCAACAGGACCTGTGTTTTGGTGTCCGGCAGAAAGGGTGAGAGGCTCGGAGGGGTTAGAGAAAGAGAGTAGAATGGAAGAGAGAGAGAGAGAGAGAGAGAGAGAGAGAGAGCGAGAGCGAGAGCGAGACTGAAAGAGAGGGAAGCAGAGAGACAGAGAGAGAGAGAGAGAGAGAGAGAGAGAGAGAGAGAGAGAGAGAGAGAGCGAGAGCGAGAGCGATACTGAAAGAGAGGGAAGCAGAGAGACAGAGAGAGAGAGAGAGCGAGAGAGAGAGAGCGAGAGAGAGAGAAGAGGTCCGTTAGTAAAAAGTAGCCTTGCGTAGCGATGGGCACATCTGGGTGAGTAGCTATTATCCCCCGGGGGCGGGGGCCGTTCTGCAATCTAGCCGCTGGGGAGGGACGCTTATGGAAATCCGGGGAATGGAAGGGAAATCTAGCAAGGAATAGAAAAAAGGGAAAATATGGAAACTAGGCAGATCAGGAAAATTTTTTAAAGGAGAGCTTTGTAGTATGGGAAAGGAAAGGATGTCGTTGAAAAACCCCGAAAATTCCATTCCCTAAGAATCTTTCCTAGCTCCTCGGAAATCTCCTCAAATTTCGGCTATTCTTGCAAATTTTGACTTTTGAGTGATTTGCCTCTATATAGTCATGAGTTTGCAATACCTTTCAGCAGTCTGGAAGGTGAGAAAATTAAACCGAATCTGTTTCCTCGCTAAAACTTTTGACTTCAACGTACCCTCAAATTACCTAAAACCTATCTCAATTTTTTCCAAATCACTAATCCGTTATTTCTATCATAAAAACCGTCTGGGTGCGTTCTATCCGATACCCTCTTGTCTCTCAATGAAGCCAATTTGCGGCTAGAAGATGTTCTGCTCTTCTTGCCATTACTTTTTGTGCTTGTGATCCGCCTTCGCCAGCTCATTAGGCCGAGGAAATGGAGATGCATCCCCCTGGAGAAAGCGAGTGAAAGAGAGCGAGAGAACAAGAGAGAAGAGGAAGGATTTGTGACCAGGGCTCCGCAAGAATACGGAATATAATGTGAATAGGGGTGATGCGGGCCGGGTGCTCGAAATTACCTGGTCTGCAGAGAACAGGGGCCAATCAAATATTGTTTAAGGTTATAGGGTAATTTTAAGGCTTTTAATGGTATTAGGAAGCCATCTAAAACGCTTTTTACTAATGTTAAATATTCAGGCTCCTCATCTGTTACCGCGAACATGTGGAACATATGAGGTTGAATATGCTGTCCGCTGAGGAATTTTTGAAACCGAAGCAGGTGTGAAAATGTCTTGCTCCTTTTCTATTTTTGCTCTCTCTCTCTCTCTCTCTCTCTCTCTCTCTCTCTGTCCCTATCTCTCGCTCCCTCTCAAAAGGATTTTTCTAGCGCCGCGCCATGGTCCCCGACGACGTCGAGAATCTCAGCAAGGCCGAGTTGGCCGGTCTCATGTACTGGCTGAACAAAATGACGCCCTATCCCTTGCTGCCGGAACCGGACCGGGTAAGCAAATCGATTTTAGGCCGAAGCTCTTAGCCGACTCTCATTCCAACAAGTTCGAGCAGTTTAGCTCGTTTCCGTGTATAATTCCATCTGTTTAGCAAGCCCTGATGAAGCGTTTCTCGGTGCGAAAACTCAGTTTGGACCACTTTTACTATGCTTCACAGCATAAGGTATGTACTCTTTATGAATTTCGGAGCTTACGAATCTTAAGACTTCAGAAGCTTCAGAAGCTTAAAAGGCTTGGGAGAGTTTTAGGTTGCTTAGTCACATTACCAAGCTGTTACGCTCCCTTTAAACCCGATAATTTCCAGACCGAACTCGTCCCCCGCAACTTTTGCATGCTAAATAACACCTTCGTCCCGGACGGTCGCACCGGATTCGAGTTGAAAACCGACGACGAGAAGCAGGTCAAAGCCAAGCAACAGTACGTTTTGAAACTTCGCTTCATCGCTTATCTAGGACAATTCTAAAACGATTTTTCCAGAATTTTCCGCCCCACGTACGACCGTATGTGGCGTACCGTCATCATCCCGTTCAACAACATGGAGATTATCGACGCCGAGGTCGTCTTCCTGCACGGACAACTGCTTTGGAGCCCGCTGAGTACGTTTGGCTGCGAAAATACGGCAAATGTTTAAAAAATATCTTTTGCGCTTTTTGAGTACGCATAGTTACGCAGCTACATAAAGCTATTCGTAAAATAATGTTTACGAAGCCTCGTACTGTTCGATAAATAGTGACGCTCCGATACTAAAGAAAGTGAACTGCTTGTAGGTGCCGAACCCGGAAAAACTAAATTGCATTTTAACGCTGCGTAAACAAGCTGTTTTTACGCAAATTGGAGACGTCTGGATACGCTAGGCTGCGCTTTGGTGGCTTTCCGCCTTTTTAGATGCTAAATTACGAATATCGCAAACCACGAAAATTTTACGGTTTCTGAACTTCCATGAAAAATGTTTTGACGCAAAATTCAATTTTTTTCCGTTTAGACAGCATCCACGTGGAGAGCCATACCCGAAAGGTCCTCCAAGAGCGCCGAGAGTGGTTTACGAACCGGCTGCACGAGTACTACCGCAACCGCGGACTCGACGAGGTCGACGCTGGGCTCCGGTTGGGAAACATGTTCATGATGTTGTCCGAGATTGAGGTGGGCTTTTTGCTTGAACTGCTTGAAGAAGGCCCCTAAAAATCCCATTTGATCCCTTTCAACTTTAATTTTCAGACGATCTGCAACCAGCATTGCCACGACTTCCAGGTGTGCAAGCTGTTCGAGTTCTGCGACATGAGCCAGTTTTGGTAAGCGATGAAAAATTGTGGTGACCTCTATATACTTTCAAAGTTGTTTCGTTGGTATAAAAGAACCGTCAGCTATCCCGAGCGATTTTAGCTACCGAAACCTAATTTTTTAGCCTCCATTCATCTTTAAATTTAATTTTTCTAGGTATGAAAAGATCTGCTACACCCCCGTCAACACGATGGCGGTTAGCCATCAGCAGGAACTGCGAGACGAAGCCAACAGGGCTGATCAACAAGCCCTCAAAGACCGTCTCATCCAGATGCACGAGGAGAAGAGGCGGAAAGATGAGGAGATGCGGATCCGGGCCAGCATTCCCTTGCCCACAATCGAAGACAGGACCTATACTCACAAACTCATCGAAACGGTACCGTAGTTACGGTATTTAGGGGACGGTTTAGGCACTTCCTGCCAAGAAATAAAATTTTGATATTTCCTATAACAGTTATTCTCCTTTTCAGCTGGTCAGCGTCGACGAAGACAGCGAGGAAGGGTTCGGTTTCGGCCCCGAAACCTGCTTCATCTCTCCGCCCACCCCGATGCAGATGCTCAATCCACCGCCGAAGGAGGGCGAGCCGGCTCGGAAACGGTCCCGGAAAACAACTGCGGAGAACGAGAAGACAATGCCGTCTCTCCAGACCGCCAATCTTCTAAAAACCGTACCGGTACACCATCAAACCTTCACGGAGAAGAAATACGAGCCCACCGAGTACAACTACTCGTTTGACCGCCCGCGCATTGTGGAGAGCCAGGTGAGGAGATATTTTTTAAAGGGGTTATGAAGTCAAGAAAACGCAAGCCGAGATCTTTGGGGAGTCACACTCGATTTTGACTAGGCTTAAAGGGGCTGGGAAATCAGGCAAATCGGTGCTTAGCAGAGAACTTTGCGGAATGGATAGAAATTTTAAAAGACGCTGGGAAGTAGCAAAAACAGGACAAACGAGCAGAAGTCTTTGGGGAGTCACAATAGATGACTAGGCTTAAGAGGGCCGGGAAGCCAGGCAAATGGGTGTCTAACAGATTTCTTTGCGGAATTGACATAAATTAAATTAAACTCGAGTTCATGCTCACTTTTCCAGGGCTCCCTCTCACCCCCGGATCTGCAGATGGAGTACAAGATGAAGGACTACTTCAGCAAGGACAGCAAAATCAAAATCGCCGGCCCGGGCTTCATCAAAATGGACCAGAGCCAGCGGATGAACGACATCAAGGCGCTGATTTACAACCCCGATGGGGACCAGATGGACAAGCTCGACAAGGTGGGCAAGAATTCATAGATTGAAGACCGATAAATTTAATTCTAAACCATTAAAGCATACGGTCCTCTAATAAAATAATTATAAATTTGTCCGAAACCATCAAATTTACATTTTTAGAAGCGCTCCCACTCCGTGGAGTTGCCCTCGTCGAGCGACACCTCGCCGGAAAGTATCGACATCCGCACCCCGCCCCCCATGGATTTTATGATGATGTATCAATAATTTTATTGGAAAACTTGTGTTGATTTACGCCATCTTTTGCATATTTTTTAAGCGTTTGACGTCTTCTAACCCGCCACCCAACCCACAACACAAAAAAAAACGTTGCCATTCCGATGTATTTATTGCTATTCGTTGTTCTGGAAAACTGTGGGGAAATCGAGGAAAGCTTGTAAAGCGCTGGAACTACGTAGAAAACTTTAATATCTTTTAAAAAACAGGCTGGGAAACAAGTCAATAATGGCAATTTCTATTAACAAAGCTATACTTTTAATTTCAACATTTGCTTATGGATTTTGGTTTTAATGATCGAAAATAAGTTTAATAATGTTTTTCTTAGGTTATATAATTGTTTTAATCCCAAACATCCACTATTTCCGGCCATTTCCAAGCTTTTCCGCAATTTTCCACCCAACACCTCCTCCCCTACGTACCGTGTCCGCAGTCTCTGGTTGTCCACAATATTCAGATCTCACAGATAGCCCTTGGAGCCCCACGAAGTGTTCTCGAGCCTACGTTACAATCCTCTGTACACCGTAAGCCTGTCAAATACAAGTAGAAAAGCCCATATCCACCCCACGAACTTACAGGAGCGCCCCACACGCAATTTTTGTGATTTTACTGCGGCATATCCGGCCTTCACGACTAGTAAAGGCCGTTTTGTAGTTTGTGGTTTGTAGAGCAACTTTTAAAACCTTCAAAAAAGAATCGATAGCGTCCAGATTACAAACTACAATTTTCTTGGTTTTCTGTACGCCCAAACCTTGTAAATTCTCCATTTCTAGTCACCCCAGCACACAAAAGCAGTTACAAAACCTGAAATCGATACGCTTTTCCGTTTTTACTCTCGACAGAAAAATACAGTGTCCTGTGATTTTCTTTTCGTTATTTTTGTCGTTTAGCATTTAGCGTAGCGCAAAAACTCTCTAAAGACTTGTTCCCCCATCTCCGTGTTCACCATCCCCCACATTGATACGGTGTCTACAGTAGTCATGCGGATAGCTTGCAAATGTGTTTTTATACATTTGGTTATATTATTGTCCCCCACCCTCCCCTCCCCAAACCCCCATCCCTCTACTGGTCCAATGGTCTGTGTCTGTGTCCAACGTTTCATGTTTCTGGTTTTGATAAATATTGAAAAATTGTATGTCAAAATTCACACCGAAAACGGCTCGAAAAACAATAAAAAAACACTACGAAACTTGTAAGGAAACGGAATAATGAGACTTTTCGATTGTAGTTTGTAGCCGAGGCGGAACGAGGCGGCAATACTTTTTACGTATTGGACTTCGTGAGTGCATTGTGGAATCTCTGAATTTAAGTTTTTTTTTTGCGCAAGATAACGGGACCATGACATTTCCGCCAACGACAATTCCGCCAACGGCCAAAATGCTTGTAAAATGCGATGTTTCATGCGTGTAACAATCCTAACTATTTTTTTCTCGCCCGGATCTCGGATCTAGCTATTACAGAAGAAATAACAAACGTATGATAGCTTTTTCTTCAAAATCGGATTTTGCGCCTGAAAAGGTAAAAAACGCGATATGATGCCCAAAACAACCCACCCGCATCGTAATTTCTTCGCTACTAGCATGTACTTACGTTGATTGAATTTATTAATGCCAAAAACACAAAGAAAATCTTTAATTTGGAAAGTTTTGTGTGTTTTTGGCCTCAAATTGGCGGAAATGTCGCTGGCGGAAATGTCATGGTCCCAAAATAACACTAAATCATCCTAAAAACTTAAAATAAACAAAGAAAAATTAGTTTCAGATCGCTTTTGGAAGTTTATACTCGAGGTGGAGCAATACCGCACAACTTATTACCCGGTAAATTCCGCGCTTAATGCGCAGTTGTGAGCTTTATAGTTTTTAATGCTGGCTCATGGTATTTTCATTGCAATCCTTTTTAAGTTTTAAGTGATCCATAAAAAGTTATACTTGTTTTTAGAGCCTATTCGTGGCCTCTGAAGCCTTGAAATCAACTTTTTTTTTTTAACCCTTAGACAAGCTATTTTTATTATTCGACGTCCCAAAGTCCAAACTTCGTCAATTCTTCGTAAAACGATACTTTCAGCCCCCTCATCGCCATTTCCCCCACTTTCCCCCGCAAAATTCCCCCAATATTTTCGCGTTATTCAGCGCATTTCTGCCATCCGGCCACCCGGGCACCGGGGGCCTCTCTTTTCCCCCCATTGGGATGTCTGTCTGTTTGGTTTCTCTCTGTCTTTCTATCTCTCGGGCCTCTCCTACTCTCCAATCTCTATTCCACCGCTGTCGCGCGTCTCTCATACTCTCGCCAGTTTACCCCTGCCCACTACAGCCCGGCTCTCCCGTTTCCTCTCCCTCTCTTCCCACCGAATTCCCACAATATCTCTGCCCGCTCTTGATTTCACATACTCTCTCCATGGCCATCTGCGACCCCACATCTGCCCGCTATTTCGTGACGTTTGCATGGAAACCCGTCGCGTGTCTCTCGTCTTTTGACGCACTTTTCTACCTCTCCTCCGACTCCTCCGTCTGCTGTCTCCGCCGAAAAACGATCCCTAAATCGGCGCCCCCGCCCCGCCACCTTCCCCACAGCCCGTGCTCTCTAATCAATTTTCTTAAAAACCCGGTTTATTGCGCTTTTTGGGAATATTTTTTCGAGTGGTTTTGCAAATCATAAGCCCTGGAGGCTACTCGTCATAAATCGAGCCTAGAACTTTGGATATTAGACCCAAAAACGTTAGGTAAAATTTTCAAGAGGCGTGGAAGTGTTTCTTGAACCCATTTTGATGGTTTTCCCCTGAAAACTACTTTTAATTCGGCTATACCTTTTAGATCTGGTACGTTTTTGCTGAAAGCCTAGTCCTAGAAAGCTCCAGCACTTTATAGGCGGACTCTTGACTTTGTAAAATAACGTCTTTTACTAGTTTTGACAAGGTTAGAGTAAGAAAATTCTATGGCCTAATTTCTAAGACACCCCGCGACATCTGTCATTCAAAAAAATCCGGAAACTTCGCTTGGGCTTGCCTGGAACTGGCTTTTATAGACTCAACTCCGGTGATAAGCCTGACGTAACATTGGAAAATTCTTTGAAATGGAGTTTTGGCGCTACGGCCGTTATTTATTAATGCATGACCCTCAATTTACTTTCCTGTTGCCGTTTTGAGCTCAAAGTGGAATTTTTTCACTTTCTAAACGCTCTCGCTGATTGGTTTCTAAACACTTTTAATATTATTTTTTTCAGCCACCCTCAACAATGGAAGCGGACGGCCCGAAGTCGAAGCCGCCGGTTCGCGGCAAGACGTCGCCGTACGGATTCTTCGTGAAGATGTGCTACGAGGAGCACAAGAAGAAGTACCCCAACGACAAGGTCGAGGTCACCGAGATAGCCAAGCGGTGCAGCGAGAAATGGAAGGTAACTTATTCAATGAAACGAATTTTTGGGCTAAAAGTCTGTCTCGCACCCTTTTGTAAAATTTTTGATTTTTAGACGATGAGCGAGGAGGAGAAGCGCCGTTTCTACGAGCTGGCCCACAAGGACTCGGATCGTTATCATGCTGAGGTACTTTTTTAATGTTTTGCAGTATCAAACTATACTGTGGTGATGCGTTCCCTTCTTGGTGCACCTCTTTAGAGTCAAAAATATAATAGTCACGTCAATTAATTCATTTTCCAGGTCGCCGCCTACGCCGAGGAGGACCAGTCGCGCAAGCGGAAGCGTGCCAAGCGCGACCCGAACGCGCCAAAGCGCCCGCTCTCCGCCTTCTTCCTTTTCTCGCAGGAGCGCCGGCCGCAAGTCGTCGCCGAGCACCCCGAGTACTCCGTGATGCAGGGTAACTTTTTGGGATTTGTTGCTTTTCGCGACCCGCGCTAGAATTAGGTGTTGCCTAGTGACTGGACTGCTTTAAAGATTTTGTAGTGACGAAAACTTTTAAATATCTCCTTTATCATATTCTTTTAGTCGCCAAAACACTCGGTGGTGTCTGGGGCACGATGGGACCCGAGGACCGCGAGCCGTACGATCAACGCGCCCAGAATGACAAGCGCCGCTACGAGCTCGAGATGGCCGAATATAACCGAACCCGGGCCCAATCGCCGAATGTTGATGTCGTTCATAATGTAAGGTTTTTATTACACTTAAATCGCTTCGAATTAACGTTCATAAGATTAAATATAAACTATTTAGTTGTTTTTAGTAGTTTTTCGCTTTTATAACTTAAAATGCTGAAAATTTAGACGGTCAACGATACCAAGTTTCTTTTTCATATATTTTTGGCGCAAAATCAGATCTCTTCGAAAATTGAATGTCTTTTTTTAGGAAGTTTCGCTGTCAAAAGAATGTAGAATGCTATTAAAAACCTTAATTTTTTCATTAAAAACCGGGTGATTGAAAAATTAGCCCCCCCCCGCTAAAAAACCAGAACCGGCTTTTAGTTTAATTCATCTTTAAAATCTAATATCCCTTTTTCAGTACCGCGCCGGCCCTCCCCTCAAGCAGCAGCAAAACCTCCACCAAATCCTGACGCCCAGCCTCTGAGCGCACCCACTGATGCTAGAAGTTTGACCTGGAATTCACACGAATTGTTTGTTGTTTCTTTCCCCCATTTCTCGCCCGCCTATTTACACATAGCGTCCCCCGCTACCCCCGTGATACTCACTTGCCATTTGACGCGCTATATACCGACCGCCGCTCTGCTGTCGTCGTCTTTTGTATAGTTACGTACATTCTTCTTCTTCCTCGTTCCGTGCCCTCTGCCCCAATTTTCGCCCTCCATCCGAACCTCGATTGTTGGCAATCCAAATTAATTAGGCGATCGATTACGCGCCCCTACTTCCTCATCCACATACCCGTGAACCGCATTCTGGGATTTCTCTTTTTACACGTTTATTTCGAGTTTGTCCGACATTTTACATTGTTAGTCCCCCCGCCTCCCCAAAAGTTGATATACCTAAAAAGTTTGTGCGAAAATTTGACGTTTCCAATAAAAACCTCAAAATTTTCAAGGTGCTATTTTATTTCACAGGGAGCACGAGGCAAGGCACAGAAATCACAGAGTATGAAAACGTAGATAATAACAATTTAGGAAGATAAATAAAAGTATGCACAGTACAAAACAGGACGGCTAGTTTATTTTAAAAAGAAATACCCATTTTTGACGTAGCCGTTGGTGCGGTAGTTCCTGAAATATCGAGGGTTTCGTTACGTTTTTCGATTTTTTTTTCCGGATAGCCACGATACGATAAAATAAAGTTTAAAGCTTTACCATTGATTTTCTTCGCTATCCCAGCGTTTCGTCACAATCGTGCCCATCGTGTGGAGCCAGCCCTGGATTTGCGATTCCAATGTGTGCGGGTACGCGGCGTGGAATCTGCAAATCAATTTTTATATTTTTTTTTCTAAGCTACGGTCCACTTACTTGTTGACCACTTCTTCAAATTTGACACCGCGATTCGGATCCGCCTCCGCCACGATCCGCAACAACTCCAAAAAACGCGCTCGTTGACGTGGGCCATACGCGCGGACCATGTCGATGCCTTGTTGGTTCAGCTCGAGGTCGTCTTCTTTCTGAAATAAAAATAGTTATGATCATGATCACGATTTTCTGACCTCATAGATTTGCCATAAATGCGGGTGATGTTGGATGAAGTAGACGAGGTAGTCGTGCTTGTCGAAAAGCTCGAGCGGGCGATGCTGAGGTACGGAGGGGAATGGGGGCTCGGCGTTCGGAACGAGGGTCCTGAAAATGTACCTCTACAGCTTGAAATTGCTCACCATAAGAAAAAGACAGAATAATTCAAAACTTAGAACCCACAGCATAGTCATTGCCGCCATTTCGGCGAGTGGCCGCTCGACTCGCGGTAGTAGCGAAGTTATCAAAGCAATCCGACATCTTTCGGTTCGTTCGGCTTCCTGGAAAGTTTATAATTGCTAGTTGAAGTTTAGAGATGAAGAAAAGAAGGAAATCCATATATCTGTGTATAAATATAATTATCGACCTAGTATTAATATAAATAAACTGATATAGCTTTCAAAGTCTAAAAACCTCAAATACAAGGGGATTCCAAAACATACCTGTTGATCAGTCAATTGACTCAAAATACAAGCATTCGGCAGCGCGCCCTTCACCATCCAGTAACAGCTGAACCACGGCGCCTTATCGCCATACACAGCCACGCGGCGCTTGCTTGCTAAAACATGGGTCTTAAAAAGTATAATACATTGCAAAAAGTTTTACCAATACATTAAAATGCAACCCACCGTGTTCCGGCGTTAAACAAAACACATTATTATTTCGCGCGCTGCAGATCGGCTCTACCTTCGTCGCCAAAAACTGACAAGCCGCGTTGTGGGTGGTGATGCAAGTGATTTCGGTCTAAACAGCATGAAAAATCTTCTTTTTCTACTTACCAAACTCCCAATCGGATACATGTCGCACATTCGGCGCTCCTCGTTCTCCAGATGGTGCGGCATTATCGAGATTTTGCTGCCGGCGAACGGGGGCTCCAGAATGATGGCCTAAACAGATTTTTCAGTAGTTTTGGATAACATTATACCTTCAAAAACGTGAAGCTCCCGTCGATAATCTGGGCGCGGAGTCGATAGAGCTGGCTGTGATCCCGGACAATCTGTTTTCCGGCTTGGTCAGGCTGCAGCTCAGGAAAAAGCGTTGAATCGAACAAAGCTGGCGAGTTGGCGAGTGTATCTTCATGTAGACCGAGGCGGCCTTCTAAAAACTCTACAATTTTTGTATTATGATACTAACCTCGTTCCACAAATATCTCGCGGTGTCTGTGGAGCAAAATCTTGGCTTTATATCCCGGCTCCTCGTCTTCATAGCAATTTAGCTCTAGCGAATCTGTGCTGTCTTCCGATGTAGGCAACCTGAATTAAAAAACCATTCCAAAAACTCTTAAAAACGTACCACTCAAGAAATTCGGATGTTTCGACTTCTACTCGCTCGAGGAGCTTGCCGACAACCTCAAACAGCTTGTCCCTGTATTCGTTTCGCCGGTTTTTCGCCTAAAAGCTGGTAAAAAATTAGCAAGCTATCAAACCCTATCGGTTCTTCGATTCAACGCGAAAACGTGGCCATTTTGCAGCAGGAATTTGCGTAGGAATTCAATGGGGGAGCCCTAAAAATCTCATACGTACATTTTCAAAGCGCTAACCAGTTCAAAGTAGAATTCGCGGTCCGGGAATTCCTTCAAAAGTTCTTCAACTTTCAGCGATCCTTTACTTCGAAGTGCCGCATGAGCCTAAAACAGTTTAATACCGTTTTTATCATAGAGTTTACCGTATTCAATCGATTCCTTGTCTTGAGTAGCAGTTGTTCTGGGTATGCCGGTATTTTTGAAGTGGTTGCCTCCATTCACAGACGATATTGAAGCTAAATTTATTTAATTTAGAAGACGAAAACGGCATTAGAAGAAAATTGAAAAGGACTTTGAAGTTACAATGCTATTTTTTATTTTTAGTCAACAAAATAATTTTTTGCGCTTTATCGCCTTGAAAACCAGATTTTCTTGAACATTCTGTACCTACAAAGCTCTCAAAAATCTTATCGTGTTAGAAAATACATCGTACCTGTAGTTCGAAACGTCTCTTGCTGAATTTAGTTAAAAATATAACATTCAAGCCCCAAAATTGGCTTACGAGCTTATTTTCGTGACCGCCGAGAAAATAATGCGTTCAGCTTGGCGCATGCCTGGCCCTGTCGATAGTATGCCCGCGTACCAACCACTACGTTGCACGATTTATTGCGATTTCTTTGAAGACAAGCACACCAAAAAAGTTCGCATAAAAGTCGAAACAATTGCGGAAACAATTTACAAAACCTTGTGACCATTAGGAAAGCTTAGAAAATCAATATAAAAGCACAAAAACGGCGAAAAATTTCCTACACGGGCTCGGGGCACATCGACCACAGGTTGTGGTTTGAAGATGATCGAGTTTTCATGGAGGATGCGCCCCGGAAATGCTATCGAAACGGGTAGATTGGGGGTTGTTGGGCTACGATGGGTGGGGCACAATTTAAAGTTGGCGGAAGGGTTGGAAAGTGGAGGATCGTCGAGGGGTTGGCCTGGCGGTTGATCGGCTGACTCGCCGCTGGGCTACCCGTAAACGGGAAAGTAGCGTAGTTGATGGGAAGAAGAGGGGGAAGATCTGAAAACCTATTTTTTTTTTGGAGACAAAATAAACTACTTCAGGGTCAGTTTATTTTTGGAAAAATTGTTAAAGCCTTGCGCGTTCGTAGTAAAACGCGTACTCACTAGGAAAATCTACTAAAACAAACTAAAAACAATGAGTTTCTCGATTTAGAAAGTATTTACTTTTAAGATTATCAGTTAAGATATTTTGCGTTATTTTTTAGAGTCCTACGTTTTCCTCTACGCCTCTAACGTTTGTTAACAACTTACGAAGCTCATTTTTCAGGCAAGGGTCCGCATCCGGTCGATCTTGGGAACCTCGATCTTTCCGGGGAACATCTCCTTCAGCGCCGACTCGATATGGTCGCAGAAGCCCTGGTAGGAGAATTCGCGGTCGAAGCGGGCGCGCTAAAAATAGTCGTTAGATTTAATTAATCAGAAAATAGGGTTTTAAGGCCTGATTCTCACCTGAATTCGATAGCCATCGTCGGTATCTAGGGCTGGCCACTCCACGCGCTTCATGTGCTTCTCCATCGCGTCGGCGAGAAGTTCCGGGTTCGGGCTCGCAATCTGGAATTGCGAAATTAGCTGTTTGAGCTGTTTATCTCTCCCCCCCTCTCACTCTCGCTCACTCTCACCTTGTTGCCAGTAACGTCCTCGATGACCGTCTCGGCAGGGCCGCCGCTGTCGCAGACGATCACTGGCCGTCTCTGTTCCAGAGCCTCTATTGGCACGATGCCAAAGTGCTCGTTGGGAGGCGTGTAGAGAGCAGAGTCGCAGGTTCTTGAAATTTAAGCTTTATAAAGTTAAAATTAGATAACTGTACTGTACGATCTATTTATCTCACGCTCGCTCTCTGTCTCTCTCTCTCTCTCTCTCCCTTTCTCTCTCTCCTTCTCTTGTCGCGAATTAGCCCACCTGTACAGCTCGAACTTGCGCAGCTCGGACGGGGATGGGACGAACTCGACGACGTCTTCCACGTTCAGTTCCTGTAAGAGTGTGATTGAAGACGAAATGTTAGCCGCTCTTTCTCTCTCCCACTCTTTCGTTCTTTCTCTCTCTCTCACTGGCTCTCTCTCTCTCTCTCTCGAAAATGGATCATTCTTCGACTTACGCTGGTCATCTTTCGCAAATCGTCGTAGTAAATCTTGCTCTCCGGGATGTGCGGCATCACCGAGCCGGCGAGTTGAACAAGGAATTTGTAGCCGCGGCGCTTCAGGATACCTTAAAATTAACGTAATGAACGATACCTCATTAATTTCCAGCAATTCAGCAAAGCTCTTTATGAATTTTTTTAGATAACTTGAAGCTCATCTACCTGCCGCCTCGACTATAATATCCAGCCGTTTCTCGGGCCAGAATCTGTTCATCGACATGAAGATGTAGCGGTCGTTTGGGGCGCGGTTCTTTCTGCTGATGGCTGTGGCCGCCTGAAAACCGACGATTTTTGGATTTTCTACGTTCGCAAAGCATTTCTGCCAGCTTTACCGGAACTAGAGGTTAAGTTATCTTAAGCCTGGGTTTTTGAAGCTAAGTTTTTGGAGCTCGGACCTACCTGGCTGACAATAGCGTCGACGTCGCAGGGTGGGTAGACGACCTGAATCTTGTGGTCCGGGATCGTCGGCATGACGCGTCGGAATTGGTTTGCTGAAAAACAGAATGGAGGTCAATTGGGCTTAGCTTAGTTTAGCTTAGACTTAGATTCGGGTTAACTCAGGCTTATCTAGGGCTTCGAGTAGCTTAAGCTTCCCGACCCACCGGTAAAATGGCTGTTGACCATGATGATGTCGGTCTTCTCGAAGAGGTACTCCTCGGCGACGCCGATCATACGGGAATACCTGGAAAAGCCTGGTTTTTGGGCGTTGCGTTTTTTACGATAAAGAATGGTTTTAAAAATTGAATGAACTTACCAGCGATACAGGAAAAGCCTGGAAGGGGTGACCAGCTGTTGCGGGAAGTGACAGTAGAACAACATTTTCACGCTCGGGAAACGCCACTTGAGTAAAGGGACGCAACTGAAAATGTAATAGTATAAAAGGTATAAAAAGGTATAAAAACAACAAAAAATGGCTACAGTACGATACGATCCGATACGATCGTACGGACTCCTAAAATCTCTCTAATTTTTACCTGGCACTGTGGTCGATGACGACGAGGTCCGGGTTCAGGTCGGAAAAAGACAGATACCAGCCGAGAGCGACATTTTGTGAGAACCAGTCTCCGGGGTGAAGCTTTAGACCGATGTCGCGAACTTCTGGAATTACAAGGTTACGGAGCACCCCAAAAATTATTTGATTGCTTTCAAAACACACCAACTCCTTCCCACTGATGGTTCCGCCAATATTCGTCAATCATCGTGGTCAGCCACACGACGCGGTGTCCAGCATTGACGAAGTAGCTGAAAAAAAGGTAAAAATTGTGATTAGGATACGTTTGAAAGATCGATTCGTCATCAAACCGCAAAAAGCAAAAAGTTTGCCGCCAGCAGGGGTCGAACCTGCGACCTTGGGCTTATTAGACCCACGCTCTAACCAACTGAGCTATGGCGGCCGTGGGTGGGAGTCTCACCGGGGTGACTATCAGTGTTCGGGCGCATTCGGGTCGGCCCCCATCCAAATTGGGCCAGATTTTGGACGTTTTTGAAAGTTTTTGAAAGTTTTTTTTGAAAAGGAGCAGCGATCCCTAGTTTTTTTAATATTTATAGCTCATTTTGACCAATACACTTTCATGGAAATCTTACACCCCAACGCCGTCTACAAGTTCTCATATGTTGTTGCCTTTTTTAAAGAGATAGCAACGTATAGCTCTGTTAATAGCTTTTTTGAAGGGTATATCTTTCTGTTTTCCTGTTTTTAAGACCACAGTATCTCCAGAACCCTGTCCAAAGCCCCCAGCTGTCAGCAGTCAAGTTCCCCCACCCCTGGTTATATCTTTAGACCCATAAATTTTCGGCCGGGGGCTTCTCCTCTCCCCGGTCAAGCCGAAGCTCTCTAAAGGTGCGCGATAGGCATCTGGAGGGAGGAAGAACCGGACGTTGGGGGGCTTCGTCTGGAGCCTGTGCCCATCCTCGGTCTGAAGATGCCGAGCCCCGATATCCACCGCCCAAATCCTGCCATCGGCTTCCACGCTCGACGGCACGCAAAAACAGACGCTTGAGCTGGTTTTAGGGTAAAGCTACGCGGGACTACGCCTGTCGACGGCATGTGAAAATGAATTGCGCGAATTCAAGCCCAGGATAGTACGGTCCAACCACAAAAATTTAAAATTTGGAAGGATTTTCGAAAGATTACATACCGTAGCTTGGTATGGTTTTTACAAGTTGTTTAATATCAATCTCAAAATGGCCGCGGAAATAAAGTTAAAGATTAATTTTTAGGTTTTTTAAGAGTTTTGCAGCCCGCTTGTCTTTGGTAGATAGAATTTAAGTTGATGATAAAATTTAACATCGTTTCCAAAGGTATGTTGCTAATAAATACCGTATACCAAGGTAATATTTCGGAATGTAAAAAGCAAAATTGTATAACCTACCGTATCATAGCCACCGTACACCGATCCGATCCGCCGTTCCATTGCTCCGGGTGAATGATGACGACGAGCATCTTCTGCAAAGTTGGCACTGGATGGATGGCTGGGAAACGGGAAAGCCAAGAAATGGGCGCGTACGTTCGGAACCTATGTACGATCTGATACAGAATTACGAGGGGATGGGATTTCGGTCCATTTTATGGGAAGAAAATGGTATAGGGCGGGGTTGATCTGTCGTGCGTTGGTAGTAAAAAGAACTGGGTTAGGGAATAAAAGAGAAGTTTCAAAGCATTTTACAGAAATAACGAAATTATTTGGCACAGTTTGCTAAGTCGAAATTCCACTTTCCCCGTCCACTCTATCTCTCTCTCTCTCTCTCTCTCTCTCTCTCTCTCTCTCTCTTTCTCTCCACTCGCAACATCTAGCCCTCAATTTTGCCGATTTTTTGTACGAAAAATCCGGGACTCCCGAGCGAAATCGAGCGCCGAGATCGGGGTCAATTGAGCTCGAGGGCAATGAGGCAACAAACTGTCGATTCTGGATAAAGGGGAAAAGGGAAAACATGAATTGGAGACGGAGGATGAGGGAAAGCTCAAGCTCGATTTATCTGGTAGTTTTATCGGTTGGGCGTTTTATTGATTGAGGGAGGTTATGAAATGCAAAAAGCTGAAAGAAATGCTCAAGTTTGGGTAGGCTGACTTCAAGGGTGAGTTAGGAACCTAAGAAACTAGATCGGGCAGGTCGGAGAAGTCGAAGAAGTTCGAAAGAGTGGCTCGTTTAGGCTTGAAGACAGTTTTCAAAAAACTCAGATGTTTTCTACGAACGGAAGTGAAGCTTAAGCTAGCTTCAATTGCTTTAAAAGCTCGGAAAAGGAAAAGGAAAACTCACGATTCGATCTAGGCGTGGTTGGCCGAGCGCTGCTTCAACTGTTGGTCCTCCAAGCACCGCTCCTTGGCGTACGACTTGGTGGTGTTGTTGTTCGTCGGTTCTTCGAGGGGCCCGTCGGCGAGCTGGAAAGGAAAAGAGGATGGACGCAAAATTCTGATTCATGTCTTCGCGGGGTTCGAATGAATTCAGGAGGGCTTGGAAACGAGGGGAAACAAAGATTAAGCTCCGACGTCTGCTAGGCGTTCAGGTGGGTTCGACAAGTAAAAAAAAGGAGAAATTCCGCTCCGCACGTCTTCTAGGAGTCCAAGGGAATCCAAATGCCTCGGAAAAGAGAAAACAATAAGCTTCCAGCCTGCCACATCTTCGAAAAGTTTGGGGAAATTCCAATGCCTTAGAAAAGGAGGAAAAATGGGGGTTAGCGCGCCACGTCTTCTAGGAGTTGATCGAAATTTAGGAGACTTTAAGTCAATAACTACAAATCAAGCTTGTATAATTTTAAAGCACCCAACATACCGATGGACCGCCGGCGACGGAGGACTCCTTGACGAACTCGCGGCGAATGAACCAGACGAATGCCGAGAGGGGCACGCTGAAGAAGAGGGCCGGCGTGTAGATGCAGTAAAGGACGAAGAAACGGGTCAACCAGGCCCACATCGAGCGAGTGCTCGAATTGAAGGGGAAGGAAGGAGGATGGACGAGGGCTATGACTCCACCCCCTGAGGAAGGATACGAACAGACAGACAGACACGCCTACGGGGGAGGTCGATGGGACCGTACGTCTACCCCCAAAATGCACTCTAAAGGAAGCCGACTTGCAAAGGAATTTTTCGGGAGAGAGAGAAAGAGAGGGAGAGAGAGAGCGAGAGCGAGAGAGAGAGAGAGAGAGCGAGCGAGCGAGAGGCAAGTGCACACTATTTGGCTATTTGGGTGTTTGGGTAACCATTATCATCGGGTACCGTATGCACTACCTCCATTCCGAAAGAGATACATACATACAGAGGGGAAAGCCAGAGAAAGAGAGAGAGATAGAGAGAGAGAAGAGAGAGAGAAACGAGAGCGAGAGATAGATAGATGCAGAGAAAACAGGGTTCAGACGTCAAAACGGCTTCTGACCCTTTTCGTGACTTTCATCGCGCCATGAGTTCCATCGTCTTTGTGTCGTCACAGTATGACAGACAACTCTCGACGTCACACCGTACTTCCTCAGTGAACTGTTGTGACCTCCCAACGCCGTCTAACTATGCAGCTCTCTCTCGCTCGCTCTCGCTCTTTCTCGCTCTCGCTTTTGTTCTCTTTCGCGCTCTCGTATTCGTATTCATCCGTAACCTTTCAGGAAACAGAATTTTGATTTCCTGCTCCTGAAAACCTCTTTGTTTCAGTCGCTATAAAACTAAAAACAACCCTTTTTTATGATTTTTCTAGCGTCCATAGGAGCATGTCGTCGTCGGCGGTCCGGGCATGCCGCAGATGCAAGCCCCAGATAGCTGCGTACCGGAGCATGAGCCTGAGCCCGAGCCGTGAGAATCGACATTCCGGGATTGTTTCCTGTTTCCGCTGGGCCACCCAGCGTAGGGCTTCTCGTGTCTGCCAGCCTGGCTTGGAGAACTTTCTGTCTCTTCTTTTCGCCGCGGCCGACATATATCCCACTTCCTGCCGTGGCGCGCCGACTCGCATCGCCCCGATGGCTACACAGATATTGCAGGCGGAATGCGCATTTTTCAGCCTCGTTTTGCCTCAAAAATCTGGACTCACGGCACGGCTACGGTCTATTAGAATCGGGGGATCGGGGGATCAGGCAGGGAGAGTTGCGTAAGTTCGGAGTTTTGAGGGAAAGTTGTGAGACAAAATCGGCAAAGCTGAATGCTTCGGTTTCTTTTCTCAAATGGCATATACGACATGTAATTCTCCAGTTCCGGGCCATCCAACCGTACGTTCTATTCGGCGCTCTTCTCAAGGCTTGGTCCCCTAACATCAAAAAACGCAAAAAAACACAGAGAAAACTTGTGTACGGCAAGTTTTACTGAACGCCTGCAATGCTCCAAAGGGCCAGAAACTACTAAAATCTACCTATTTCTCGGCTAGGCCTCGACAGCTACGTGAGACGCGAAATGACGGATAGTCGCGCATGAATTTTTATAGCCTGATGAAAGGTACTGAAAGCAAGAACCGATATCTCCGTGTTTGGCTTGGAGCGTAGCGTAGCTGTCGACATCCCATTGGAAGAACGGGTAAATCCTGAAGGTTCCTAGCCCTTTTAAAAAACCTAGGCAAGTGGGACGTGTTTTCTAACAATAAGTCGGAGCCTAACTCAGCATCCTCTCTCTCTCTCTCTCGCTCTCTTTCTTTCTCCTTCCCTCCCTCTCTCTCTCACTTTTCTACGTAAGAAATGACTTGAAAGTGCGCTTCTCCGAATCTTAATCTTTCCAACATTCCGCTGACTCAGCGACCCAGAAACTCCACCAATTATGGTCAGGCGGCCAGGCTGCGCCGTGGAAAAATGGAGTTTTCAGATGGAGGGACATGAAAGGGGCAATGTTGATGAGATCTGCGGGCCGAGATACCGCATATTCCGGATTGCCCCGGCTTCAAGACCACCGGCTTGGGGTGGGTAGCCCAAAGAGTCGGAGGAGGACTACCGGGAGATCCATATCGGGCCCAGTTTCGCGCACTCCTCAGGACCCTCGAATTCAACAAAATCCAGTTCAACCTCCCCCAGGAAAATCCGGAAATCGTGTCAGGTGCCGCGGGGTCTCGAATATTGCGCTTTGAGTCCAACGGTGTGTGGGTGAAACTGGTGGAAATGGCTTTTTCTGGCTTCTGGGATGTAGGTGGTCGGGTTTACAAAAACTTTATGGCGTTCGGGAATTTGGGTTCAATGTAATGAGCTTGCAGCCAAGGCAATATGGCAGGAATACTGGAGGAAAAATCAGAAGAGCCGAGAGCCTTTAGAAAAAGCAATGATCCTTTATGGAGATGAAACCATATCTTCAGAAAAATTGCTGGGAAGTGAAGGAGTGAGGGGGCAGAGCTAGAGAGGGATAGAGAAAGAGAGAGAGAGAGAGAGAGGGAGAGAGAGAGAAAGAGAGAGAGGGATGAAGACCGGGGCGAGCCCTAGAGTGTGTTAGCACCCTAGCTTGTAGAGGGCTCTAATAAACTAAGGGAAGCTAGCGCGTTTTCGATCTGAGCAAGGCAAGCAAGCAGCTAGCAGTGTGGAAAACTGCTATTCTAGCAGTAATGCCTTAAAATCAGGGCAAGCTAGCGATGATTTTTGGGGAAAAGAAAAGCTTTCGACGCCAAGGGAAGTAATTTTTTCTTGTCGCTAAATTACTTTTTACGATAACTTCTTCAATTTTCGGCCGCCGGTAATTTCCTTCAGCTTACTGCTAGTTTCATAGCGGTACAAACTACAAGCCCACGCGCGCACACAGACTTCAGATGACTGATTGCGAAATCAGAGAGCACAGGAAATGGCCCGGGCAAGTCGGCGTCTGATTTGTGTCAAGATGAAGCGTGAGTTAAGTGTGATAAAATATGGGTGTCGGATTAAATAGGCATCAGGCTTGGCTTTTGGTATTAAGCTTGTTCCTGATTTTGAACTTTATAATCTTCTCAAAATAGAATTTTTAGGTATGTTTTTAGAATTCGGAAAAAATCCAGAATTTGTGGTGTGTGGTTTTCTTAGCTTACAGAAGTTTTCAAAAATTACGCAACGTTTTTATATCATAATTTAATGCCTTAAGTAGGTTACCTCGAGTCGGGAACCTCTAAAGGTCGCGATGACCTTATGACGTAGAAGCTTCCATCTCTAAGCAAATGATAACACAAAGCCCGGCGTCTCGTTATCAATAGCCGGAGGGCACAATGCCCCGGAAATTAAGCACAGCACGCGCATCATTATAGACACGAGCGGCTTGTCTTGACCATATTGCTACTTTTCGCTCTCCTTTATGCTTGAGTTGGAGTTTTGTAGTTTACATTGCTTAATTAATGTCTGAGCTTTTTAATTTTACCAAATGCCCTAACTGCAGTAAATTTTAAAATGTCCCCCGTAGTTGTCGAGGGCATCCGGGAATCCCTGTTTGGGGTGCACGCCTGTTTTTCGGAACATTGTGGAATTTTTTGCCGCGTCCGGTTCGGCGGACTGCCAGACAAAATACCAACAAATTAGGTACGGGATGGGTGAACCCCGATCGGTTTTGGATGAACTCGGGAAAGCAGAGGTGCACGCTGAGGAACGCTGTACATTTCTGAGCCGGAAAGTACAGTATGAAAGCAATTTTCGCTAAAAATGGGGAATAGGAGAATATTACCCGCTGCGCGCGATTCACTCGGATTATTGTGACGTTTGCCGATCCCTTTACGTAAAAATCAAAGCTGCTGGGAGCACGAGCCCATCCTCTTTTGTAACGCCATCAAGAGGCCCTGTGTCCGAAAGCTTTTGCCAGACGTGACACGCAACGCTCGACTTGCGCCTCTGCGTTACGTAAGGGAGTTCGTGACCTGCCGCGTCGATTGCTGCGCAGTGCTGCGCGCCGCGGTGCTTGGTGTCTTTCCTGCCGTATTCACGGTAAAATGGTGCGTCGTGGTGCGTGTCGTGTTTCGTGCCATATCGTTGCCATGTCGCGTGCCATATCGCACGCCGCGTCGTGTGCTGTGTTGCGTGCCGCGGTGGCCAATTCTTGCCTTACCTATGCAGGCAAAAGCCGATCTCGGGTCCTCGACCTTATAAGAATCAACCAATTACGCATGTCATGAAAAATAGTTCTTAATTTAAATAAATTTAAAACCTTAGAAAGTGTAAAAATATGATCCTTAACCTCTCAAGCACACTTCTAATTTTGGTGAACAATGGGCTCATCAAATCGTCACCGAGTCCGCCAAGGTTCCCGTACTCCTGGCTCCTACTCTAGGCGTTCAAAGGGTAATCGTCGCGCCCTAAAAAAAGGTATTTGTTTTGGTCTATTTAGGGTGGCAACAAGTGGAAAACGACGCGTTTTCCAACCACCGACCAGATCATTGACCGTCTCAAGCACTGTCTCTCCCTCTCTCGCTTGCGTGTGGCCATTTTCCGACAAAATCGAAGCCGGGGACCACTGATTCGCGTTATCTCTCGCCGTCTTGCCCCCGCCATCCCTTGCTGTTTGTACGCAAATTTCACGCAGGGCTGGCGGCTCCAGACGAAAACAACGTGAGACTGATGGCTACCGTTTTTTTTGGGGGTTGGATTTTGGACTGTTGGTCGAATGTCGAGATTGCATAATTGGATTTGAGGGTTTCTGGGAAACATTTTGTTTTCGTGGTTTCTTTATGAAACTTGGGTTAGTGATGGAGTTGTCTAATTTCTTTTCTGTAGGTTTTATAGAAAGTATGTGCTGTTTTGTTTTTTTAAATACGGTAAACTCTTGATTTTACCGCATTTGTAAGGTACAATTTGGGAAACTGAATTTAGCTCCTAGGAGCAATTTAGCATGTAGAATTTTATTTTTTAACAGCTCGATTCATCGTAAATGTTGAGTATTTTCGTATTAAATTTTCTTTGCATTTTGTTGAGGTACAACCTGAATCTAGTCTTCATATTCTCTCTTTGTTTTTCATTATCAGTAAGCATTGTGTTGCTACCTTCTGCTTCCATTCGAACAAAAAGTTTTGTTCTC